TGCTTCTCTTCCCAACAAAAAATTGGCTTGGCTTGAGACCCAATCCGAGCCCGAGTTCGTTTGAGCTCATCCCAATCATGGTTAAATTAACCATGATTCGGTATATTGGACAATTTGCTAAGAGTAATAGCTTTGACCGGGCCCTTACAGCCCGGCCCGGTTCATGGCACTGTGAGCTCATCCCAGCTCGAACCAAATCCTAACCATTGAATCAAATTGAGCTGTATATACGTACAGAGGGAGAGGCGGTGAAACAACCCAAACCCAGCCCTTCTCTCAGCATCTCTCTCTCTCATTCTCATTTTATTCCTGCCTTGTTTCGTCTCCTCCCCACCTCCGATAGCATCTAATCGCCTCCCTTGTCTCGAGAGGTGTCGCCGTCGACCCCAAGCACGGGATCCTCCCGCCGCCACCGCAGTTGTTGCCGCCGCCTCTTGGTCATCGGGCGATAGCCGCCTCGTCGATACCCGTCAAGGTTCGAACCCCTTCTCTCCCCCCTCTTTTATCCTTGGTCCACCCGTTTGCCTTTGGTGATTACTTCCTTCTTTAATCCCTAATCTGTGGATCATTCCTGTTTGCTCGGATCTTTAGCTCATCCATCGGCATCGAGCCCTAATAGTAATAACAATGTATATGTATGTCTTTGGTGCCAAACCAAATGTTGGTGAACTTCCTGAGAAGGGGGAAAGGGTAAGATCTTTGATGGCTTCATCCTTCCGCCTTTTGTTTTTTGTTTGGGGCTTCTGCCTTCGGGATGATTCTTGCACAAGACATGCGGTTTGTTGGTACTGATCTTTCTGCTTCTTAGATTCGGGACGAACTCAGTTACGTCAGACTATTGGCGTTTAGTTTACCGTCATTGTAGATGGTTCAAATTAGTTTTTTATTAGTTTATGGTAGGGTTATTGATCAGGAAGCCCTTCGTCATATGATTCATGTTCAACCTCATTACTAGAACCTTCTGCTTTGCCATTTTCCTTTATATATATATATTCTTTGTCTACTGCGAGTTTTAATTGCTGAGATTACCGAGTTGTAATTGAGTCAATACTTGGACTTGTAGTTTCAGTCGCTTTTTCAGACCATCGTATGAGAGGGATGATTAAACCGTTCTAATGAGATTTTTATATGATAGGAATTGCATTCATATTTCGTCACAGCAAGACATTTTTTTTTACATTTCTGAATTGCACTATGTTTGAGTTAAATCATTTAAAGTTTTTCCGTGAAAGATACTTTTTTTCTGCCACATTTAATCGGTTTGACATCAAAAGTGCTATATGACCTTACATCTGGTTATATTCAATTAGTAACTATTTCCACTCATAGCTGGAGCCAAGCATTCTGCAGTTGGTCAGCATAAGAAGGCTTTGCTTGTCCATTGAATTACTGGTGATATTTAGATGGAAGTACTGCTGTTATTGGTTCTTTTTGTTTCATTTCAATACTAAACAATCAGCTGTAGTTCAGAGTTTTAATCTTTTGTTTTGCTATTGGTGAGGTCAGTGTCCAGAGAGGCAAAGTGGGGTCTACCATTGGCGTATCAGTTGGGCAATTGTTAGATATGAAAGAGGCAAAACTATTGTCTTACCATCTCAACATGGCTATTGGTGTTTGAGTTTGATTAGGTTCTCTTTAGCTAGGCTTTTTAACGTGGGACCATTTTGATTTATTTCTCTTAAATAACTTTAGCTAGTTTAGGATGTCTTTTGCAGATTTCATAAGTTACCACATGATCACATCTGCTGGTTGTCTGGTTAATATTGATTGTGAACCATATTTCTACAACCTTCTGCATGGTTTGAACAAGCCCCAAAATGTCTTTTTGCTTTCTTATCTTAAATAAATCCTATTAAATGAGTGTAATATGGGCCTTCAACACAACAAATCTTATAAAAACAGGACATCCCATGGTGTGGCGCAACAATTATTGCATGTGTATTTCCAATATTATAAAGTCATCATACTTTGTATATTATAAGCAATGTATGATCATTATGTGACAGCCATTTAAATTCAAATATATAGTGAACGTTTGAGTGTTCATGTGAATGTGCAAAATAAAGGACACCATTCACATTCATTGGAACCTGAAAAGTCCACACTATATGCAATTTTCGAATATGAACATGTTGTGGAGCCTTATATAGTGTTCTAATTTTGTTACATATATACCATACCTTATCATAAATAGGTGTATTTTATACATGTTGGGAAGTATTTGATAATTACAATATCCGATACAGACATGACATAGGTACAAGGATCATTTGGAAGGGTCCATGTATTGCAGTGTGCATTCAGTATGGACATGGCATAGGTACAAATTGCTTTGAAGTGTCTGTTCTTTGTGTCGTGTAATCACAAAGTTTCAACTGTCACCTAACCATAGTTGGGGCTGCATGGCTAAAATTTCTTTTAACACACAATTTATTTGTGTTGAATAGATGAAATTGTTGTCTTTTTTCTTATTATATTGTGTTTTTTAACTGTTGACCAATGGCTCAACTTGTAACCTTGAATTTGAGTCAGCATTTAAGCTTGGTTAGGGCTGGAAGCAAGGCTTCTAATGTATACTGTCTATGATATACTAAAAAAGTGGCATGAAGAATTTTCTCATGTAGTTAGTGAAAGCCTTTAAATGCTTTAGTATTGTGTTTTATCCAATCCTGACAATTGAGTCTAAAAACGACAACCCAAATATATTCTCTCAAGCATGCAAGAAAAGTTTGTATGTTGTTTTATTGGAGACTGTCGAATAATCTAGGATTGTTGTTTCTCCATTCTGAATTATTGGTTTGTTAATGCTTTTTATTGCTTAGCAGTTGTATGAACGAACCTGAAATTTCTTGCTCTTTATTTATTTCTACTTGACTAGAGTAATGGTTGTAGTTTCAAGAAGGCAACAGCAGCCCATATGGGTTTGATCCAGAACAATTAGTTATATTGTAGAAAGCATTACTTCTATTTGAAGGCTTGCTTCATTTTACTACTCGTGTATCAGGTTCTGAATTCTCCCAAAACCAGAGTTTGATATTACTTATTTTATAAGCCAAGATCTTGTTCTTGAGATCTGCATTTCCCTTCATAGGTCATATTCTTTCTGTAGTTATATTAGCTATTAAATGAGAATTTTTAGTTCTTCACTTGGAAATAGATTAGTTGGTCAACATATTAAGAAAATAGAACATTGGTGTAGCGGTTTAAATAGGCACTCAGGCGAGGCGAGGCCCGAGCACCTCAAGGGTGGACTAGGTGACGTGCTTCAGTGAGGCGCCGCTTGGGTACTCTTCTAAACCCAGGTGCCAGGCGCGTCGAGCGAGCGCCTAGTTCAAATGAAGCAATCGAACCAGACTTTTAAGTCTGGTTTGGTTCAATAGTGGCTAGGTGGTTCGATTGAACCAACTAGCCACTTTCTTACCCGTAAAAGCCACCCTTCACACCCCCACGCAACCCTAAGCCATCAACCCTAGCGCAGCTTTTGCCTCTGCCATTGATGCTTTTTGCCACAGACATAGCGGATTGAGGCTTTCTTTGTTGTCGATGGACGGGTCCGACACCTAGCTTTCGTCCGCAGCTTCCTTCTGTCGTCGTTGCTTTCGTGTGCAACTCCCACCGTAGAGGGAGAGGACCGCAGTTTCCTCTGCCACCAATGGACACCTTTGAAGCTTCCTTTGCCCATGACGTCGTCGTTCGTAGTTCTGTCGCTGTCGTCTGTCATTGTCGCTGTTGTCGTCCATAGCTTTCGTCGCTACCGTTGTCGCTATTGGCGTCTGTAGTTTCTTTCGCCGCTACTGCTATCGCTATCGTTGTCGTCTGAAAGTTCCACTATCGGTGACTTTTTCTTCTCCTCTTAACAGTTCTTTTCTCACCGTCGGAAAGTTCCACTGTCATGAGTGCCTAGCGCCTCGGACATTTTGGGATCTTGGCGTTTTTTGGTGACTAACGCTTTTTAAATCACTACATTGATGATTGAATTTGAACATATTGATATATCATATTACATATTTTCTTGGCATTTATCAAGAACTACCCCTCCAAACTAGGGTTTTGTAGTATGGAAAAAACCTCTCAAATCAACACTAGAGATTTTTCTACTAAATTAAACTAAATTTATTGCATTAGAGAGAAGATGATGTCCAGCCATTGCCTTGGGGGCTTTTAATTGTCACATAGGGCCCCTTGAATAGACTCTCTATATCATTCTAGACCCTTCCACCAAAAATACAAGCTAAAGGCCCAAAGTGTTCATAAACTAGCTAAATAATGTTGACCTGTTGTCAATATACCAGTTAGCTCTTTTTTCTGGTGAAGAGGAGCTTACGACCTTAATTGTATCTGGAGCGCCAACTCCTAGATTGGCTAGTGTTGCCTTTTCAAGGCGTTGGGCTGGTCAGAAACAAATTTTAACTTGAATGAAAATGTCCATGGCCATTGAGATACTTCATTCTAATTTCTACTCTACGGCAGCTTAACCTGGTAATGTAAGGATTCTCTCCTGTCCAGTGCATTGCCCTAAAGTTGCCTGTTCGCCGTCTCCTGCATTTAGGAATCTCACTTGTGGTTATATATCTCCTTTACGCACTTCGTAAAAATTTAAATCCCAGTTATCATGCCGTATGCCAACTTGAATGGTAGGTATCACTAGGAAGAAATAATAAATAATTAGATACTGACTGGGAAGGTCAGACATGTTGATCAGTTCAAGCTGATATTTACTTGTCTAACCATGGACATTGAACTGGTAAGTTAGATACTAGTTCTCATCCAGTTTTGGGTCATATGGTGTTTTTCGTTTGGGATTGATATCTTACCAAGCGTATCACTCAGTTTTCCTTCTTTCTCCTCTCAGGCATTTTCCCTCTCGACTCTCCTCCTCCTTCTCCTCCTCTTTTCTGTCACATCACTGTCTCCTCCTTCACCCTGTTACATCAATGCCTCCTCCGCCTTCTCCTTCTTCACTAGTTCTCCTCCTCTTCCCCTACTCTCTTCCTTGTTCTCTCTGGTCTGGACACTGCTGACATGTACTGTATTGGTACGCTACACTGTACCAATCTGGTCACCAATTGGTATTCACACCTTGTTGGCCATTCCACCTTATCTGATTTGATACCGGTCCTTAGTCCGATAAATACTATTTTGGTTACTTGGTATGAAGCGGGCTGTCCAGTATTCGAGCCATTGTGTCAGATTCTATCTTCATCATACTTGGACCTCATACGTGCATCTTAAAGGTTTGACATAGGCTTTCTGTACTTGTCTTCTGGTCGGCCTGGCTGGTGCTGGGACCAGGTGCAACCTGCAGGCTCTATCTGAACAGGCTTTCAACCTGGCTGGCTGTACCTCGGCTTGATTGGAATTCAATTTGTGTCTGATACGCTCCACATAACAGTCTTGTAATATAGCCATAAAGAATTTCTGGGATTTAGTTTGGTAATTTGGTAAACTGCTTTGGTGTTTGCATTCTGCAAATGCACGAGCTCCTCCTTTTAAACATGCATATCTCTTCATAGAGCACCTAGGTTATTTTCTCTAGTTGTGTTGCCTATTAGCTTGTCATTTGTAATTGTAAACTAAGGAATAGATCAGTTGGTCAAAAAAAGGGGAGTTTTTTCCTCCTCTCATCTTTTCATATGGCTGTATAGCACTTCTTGGATGGTGAGTGCTGTCTCCATAACTATTTAATTGTTACATTCTGCATTTTGATCCACCATTCTTAGTTGCTTATATGTTCTATCATATGTTGTTCTGACTCATCATTTGGGGATTTCTCACTAATTTTAATAATTTACACAAAATAGGAACTCAGTGTGCAATTAAACAAATCCCAAAAAATTCCAATTTGACTGTGTATCTGCATTTATTTCTTTATGGTTCATTTATCGACTAAACTGCATTATTTTTTTACAGCTTTATAAATTTTAGATATACTACAATGGAAGTGAATAATGGGCCAGATGCGATAGATTCTGCACCAAATGCTTCTTGTTTTGATGTTGCAAGTCGATCTAAAGTTGGGAAACCAGTGGAAACTGGGGAACTGAATGATGCCCAGGCTAAGGATATATTTGTTTATAGACAAGATGTTGTCAAATGCTGTAAGCGTGACGGCTTGCTTGGAATTGTTGTGCAAGTAGCTGGTGACTCAGATTCTGAAGGCAGCATCTCAGATGACGATGGCAGTGAGGAAGATGGGAATAAGGTTGACGAAAGTAATGGAGGCGATAATGGTGTTATTAACAATAATATTGAAGGTGGTGACAATATTGGTTCTCTTCAAGATGGACAAGTGAGAGTAACATGGAGTGATGGTTCTGAGACAATGGAAAATACTAGTGATATCACGGTTGTAGATAGGAGCTTCCTGCATGGTGATATTGTTGCTTCTGCTACTGATCCAACTGGACAGTTAGGGCTTATTGTTGATGTCGATATAACAGTTGATTTACTTTCTCCAAATGGTGAGGTGATAAGAAACGTTTCCTCTAAAGATCTTAAACGCATAAGGGAATTCAGTGTTGGTGATTTTGTAGTTCTTGGACCTTGGCTTGGCCGAGTGGATGAAGTTTTAGATAATGTTACTGTTCTGTTTGATGATGGATCCGTGTGTAAAGTTGTGAAGGCTGATCCTATGAGACTGAAACCAGTTTTGAAGCCAATTGTTGATGATGCAGATTGTCCATACTACCCTGGTCAAAGGGTTAGGGCTGTTTCTTCTTCTGTTTTCAAAAGTTCCAGGTGGCTTTCTGGCTTGTGGAAAGCTAACCGTCTTGAAGGTGCTGTCATCAAAGTTCAGGCTGGCTCGGTGGTTGTCTATTGGATAGCTTCAGCTTACCTTGGTGTCGGTACTAATTCAGCAACTGTTCCTTCTGAGGAACAGAATCCAAAGAACTTGACTCTGTTGTCTTGTTTTTCACATACAAATTGGCAATTAGCTGATTGGTGTCTCCTTTCATCTTATCCACAACCATCAACCCTTGTTGATAGCATTCCAGGAAACAGTAAGTTGAAGGAGCCCGGGAGCCACTACATTTCTCATGTTCAGAATAATCATACAAGCTCTTGCATTCTTGGTGAAGGATCATCCACAGATGCCCCTGAAACAGAGGATACTGTTGACTGCTTTCATGTCAAGTCTAGTCATGCAATCAGCTCTGATGCCCATGATGCTCAATGCACATCTGAGCAAGTTACTGATGGATTATCTGAAGGTATTTTGTTGGATGGGAATTGTCAGTCCCAAGCCGATGATTACTCGAATCATGATAAAACAGCTAAATTAGGTGAGACTAATGGAGCTGAATCAAATGACTTGCCTGAAAATTGTTCGTGCAGTAGTTCATCTTCAGTTTCAAAGGAGCCTGCTCATGAAAGCTGGCCAGCTTATCGTAAGAAACTTCGAAAAGTCTTTTTTAAGAGAGATAAGAAAGCTCGAAGAAGAGATGAGAACTTTGAAAAAGCTCTTCTCATTGTCAACACTGTTACCAAGGTTAATGTAGCCTGGCAAAATGGAGAGAAAGAATTTGGGCTACAATCAACATCTCTAATTCCAATTCATACTCCAAATGATCATGAATTTTTCCCAGAACAGTATGTGATTGATAAGGCATCCAACGAAGGAGATGGTGCTTCTGAAACAAATCGCCTGGGAGTTGTAAGAAGTGTGAACTCCCAAGAGCAAACTGTGTGTGTGAGGTGGCTTAAACCTGTGTCCAGGCCGGAAGACTTAAAGGAATTTGATCATGAGGAAGTTGTTAGTGCATATGAGCTTGATGGGCATCCAGATTATGATTACTGCTATGGTGATGTTGTTGTTCGCTTGCCCCCTGTTTCTGATGATACAACAAAATCTGAAGTTCCTACCGAGACACAAGAATATCAGCGCCGTACTCAAGACACAGCAGATGATTCAAGCAGGGAACACAAAGACAATAGTGAAGAGAATCAGACCCAAAATGATGAAATTTGTGGGAACTTTACAAGTTTATCATGGGTTGGAAACATAGTTGGTCTCCAAGATGGTGACATCGAAGTTACATGGGCTGATGGGATGGTATCAAAGGTATCTCTTACTGAGAACAGGAACTACGACTGATATTTATGCCACCACATATTTTAAATGGACAACAATGCTATAACTTATTATAACCTGAGTATTTGCCTAACGATGTTATTATAATTGATCCTGCCATTCCTTTTCTTTGAAATTGTCTCTGACACAACTGTTGTTTCAGGTTGGACCTCAGGAAATTTATGTTGTTGGTCGAGATGATGATGATGATGGACTTAGTGATGATGGTGCTAGTTGGGAAACAGTCGATGAAAACGAAATGGATATATTTGATGACACTGAAAAGGTAAACATCTCTTATAACTGATTCATAGTCAACTAAAACCATTCTTTTTGTATTCTCTTTTTCCCCTTCACATTTGTGATATGGAAGTCTTCCATTTTTAGGAAGTTGATCCACAAAATCCTACTGACAACACTGTCCAAAGGGAAAAGAGTGCTACAACTTCAGTAGAAGATGGTACCGGTGGACGAAGTGGACCACTTGCAGTACCACTTGCAGCTCTTGATTTTGTTACTAAGTTAGCCACTGGATTGTTTTCTCGGACTAGAAAACAGTCTGACTCATCAGGTTCAGATCAGATAATTGCAAATGAAGATGGCCATAAAGCAGATATTGACCTTTCTGGAAGTACATTAGATGAGGCATATGAGAATAGAGGTTTTGATGTATCAGATGGTCTTATTGAAGAAAGCATGGATGAGACTGTTGAAGTGGAGAATCAGGTGGCAGCAACAGAAGAGGCTGAACTGAAAATTGAGGACAGCATAGTGAAACCAACATTGATGGGACTATATGATGGAAATCAAAGAGATTATAGTATGGATGATCTATGTAATTTCAGTCACTTTGATGTTACTGAAAATCCTTTGGATCATCATTTTCATGGTGATGCTGAGATGGTAATTGATAAATTTCTCTTTCATTTTCTTGCAACTCGACAAATTTTCATAGAACTCATTATACATACAATGCATATGATATTTATGCTGCACTTGAATTCTGCTGTTACATGATTCATTGCCGTATCTAGATACATGATTTTCCTATATGTGTTGATGCTTATGCTTCTTATGTAAGTTGTATAGCTGTCTTAACACAGAAAATATATAATAATTAAAATGCAGAGTAATGGTGGAAGGAAGTGGGTCAAAAAGGTTCAGCAAGAATGGACCATTCTTGAGAAGAACCTACCTGGTAAGGAAATATTACTGGCTGAATAAACAATTTATATAGTTGATGTGAATAAATGAGCTCTAGTTTTGATCCTGATTACAGATGCTATTTATGTTCGAGTGTTTGAGGACCGCATGGATCTCATAAGAGCTGTAATAATTGGAGCCTGTGGAACCCCGTATCAGGATGGCCTCTTCTTCTTCGATTTTCAACTTCCTCCAGAGTACCCTCAAGTTCCACCGGTAATTGTGATATTAAAATTTGCTAGTTAAATCCCCCACATTTTGTCAAAAGACTAACCTCAGTTTATGATCCCTGCCTGTTTGCTTTGATCATTCATCTTGAATTTACGGACGAGTGAATCTGTTAATCCAGTCTTCAATTTACTTCGACTTTATTATTGATTCTTCTTGTTTTTGCAGTCAGTATATTATCATTCGGGTGGCCTGCGAGTAAACCCCAATTTGTATGTGGATGGGAAGGTTTGCTTAAGCCTGCTAAATACATGGACAGGCAAGGGAAATGAAGTCTGGGATCCTTCGTCTTCCAGCATCCTCCAAGTCCTAGTTTCACTACAGGGATTGGTTCTCAATGATAAGCCATATTTCAATGAAGCTGGCTATGAAAAACAGATTGGTACAGTTGAAGGCGAGAAGAATGCTTTACCATATAATGAGAATACATACCTACTTAACTTGAAATCCATGCTGTATCTTTTGAGAAGGCCCCCAGTGGTAAGTGCAAAAAGCCCGTTACAAGTTCTGTTTCTCTTCATATATATATATATATATATATATATATAATGAAGAGAAATGGGTACACAATCATAACTGTGACTGTTATGGTGTTTTTTTTTTTAAGATTTAGATTTGTCATTCTGCAAAAGAAACCGGATCCCTTCACAACTAGATTTTACTGTGTTTATGTGATAAATGATAATTTTTCTTGCTGATAAAACATTATACTTATTATATTGCACTTTGACTGTTATTGGCTCCTTCAACAGCAAGTTTAATATTTGCAGAGCTTGCACTTTTTTTTAACTCACCTTAGATTTATTGCTGTCGTTGACAACTTACATTAGTACCAGAATGTTCTCAACTTCACATCCCTTCCACTGTGTTTGTTTGCTGGAGAGTCAAAATCTTGTCAAATCTGCTGAACAAATTCCTTATATGGTTTTGGAACAAATATTTTGCAACAATGTTGGTTTTTTATTATTTTTTAAAGATATTCTATGTTGTTTGTCTGATTTATATGTTGTTGATGTAGCATTTTGAGGTCTTCGTCAAGGACCAATTCCGCAGAAGAGGTCATTACATTCTTAAAGCCTGCGAGGCCTACATGGACGGCTGCCTGATCGGTTCACTTACAAAGGATGCCTGCCTAACTGAGACGAGCCGCAAGCACTCTTGTTCTGTTGGTTTCAAGTTAACACTGGCAAAAATTTTGCCTCGGCTGATTCCTGCATTAAAAGAAGTAGGAGCTGATTGCCACCAATTCGATTATCTGCTCAAGGTTGAAAACCTTTCAGAAAGTTGAACAGTCCCAAAGTTTTTCCTGGTATGCTTCAACAAGTGTATTCTGGGAATTGGTTTGTTTCATGTGTAAATTGATTGGCACCCACCTGAGAGAGGCTCACTTCTTGTTTCATAAAGCATGTAGGAAACAATTCCTAGATGTGGTCAGTATTCATTGTGGAACCCTTTTGTGCCTAATATTCTCTTATCATCATTTTTTTTCTCCTACACAGAGCCAGCCTCATGTAGAATACATATTTTTATCTCATATTGCCAATGGCTTCATGTCGTGTGATGAAAGTGATCTGATCCTGGCATCAGAGCTGCCCTCATTCGAAATGAGCTGCATCCAACATCCTCTTCGCCATGAAACCCCTGCTTGGTCTCTCTCAGAAAGCCCATGATGGGGGCGATGGCTTTCTTCCTTGTACGTATCCCAGCAAATTACAAGTGGCAGCCAACTTGAAGCTTCTCCACTTCGTCTCATGAGCTTACTTCGTGTTCGTCTCCTCGCCGAGGCACTTGGCCAGAACCACTACGTCTTCTAACGCCGCGCAGCCGCCTCGCTCCTTTCGATGGCTTGTATGTACTCCACTCTTCATCTTCCTCAGCACACCTTCTTAGTTCCATCCCTTCTCCCTTCTCTGCGCTCTTCTTCCTCCTTCGAAACAACAGGTAGAGGTTGAGGAAACGTCATGTTTCCATTCCAGGAACTTAGAAGAGCCAGGTGGAAGCGAACCAGTGGCCGCTCAAGTCGAAGTGTAGTAGAACCAGCGGCAGCCTCAACCCAGAGTTCGCATTCTACTTCGGGAGAGGCTATTGATGTTGGAAAAATACGAAAAAAAAAGGATGAAAATACTTTGAAAACAAATAACAAACACAAGATCAAGAATACTATAGAAAATATATTTAGGCTTGAAACATGTATAAATACTTTTCTAAAAATGATATTTGTACCCTCTTCTCAATAAGATTGTTATGAGTTTGATGCAAATAATTTTAGTGGATATGATAAACCTTTAGAAGATCCGTATTGAGCAAACAATAAAGAATCTTAAAAGAGAAATTAGAGAATATCTAATTCAATCACTTGGAGAGTAAAGAAGAAGAGTACGAAAGAGGTCATCATAATTTACTCTCAAATACTTATTTATAGATATTTTTCACAAAAGATATAATCTTTGAAAAATAACTGTCAAAATAACTACAAAGGAAATCACCTTTTCAAATAAATCTTTTGAAAAGAATTTTTTAATTTGAACAATTTATAACAATCCCCCACTTGTTCAAATTTAAAATTTTCTCCAAGTGATTAAATAGTATTTATGAATAAAGTAATATATCTTTGATTTGAATATTACCTTAGTGTAAACATCACAAAATGAAGTCGAAATCCCAAATAGCATAAAAGCTTTGAATTTGTTATTCTTAATGACAACACCAGTAATACCACACACATAAATACAACATCCTTGTATTCCTTGTAAAATCTCACTCAACCCTAATATGGCCTTGGGCTCATCCAAGTTCATAAACTTTTATGAGAGAAACTCCAACTCTTAATCGAAGCGGTACTACTTCTAAGTTCTTATAGTATCTTTGTTACTCTTTGAGATACTTGTCCTAACTTGACTGAACTTCATTAAGAGTATAATTAACTCAACCCTCATTCGGTGACAACCGGTACTTTAACATCTTTAGATAGGACTTGTAAAATATTTCAAAGTGCTGAACCACTCCACATATCAATGACTTGTTCTTACCCTTTGAACTCTTCATTACTCATTTCATAATATTGAGTAGGGTTGCTATCATTGGTAGATTTTTTATTCAAGGAGTTTTAGCCCCATCCATTTTGATGTTAATCTTATAACTTCTCGTGTAAGAGGTTTGGTGAATGGATCAGCCAAATTCTCACTTGTTTTCACAAATGTGAGTGAAATAATCCCACTTTTGATTAATTTTCTCACATAATCATATGTAAGACTTATATATCTTGACTTATGTAGATTTCATATTTCACTATATGCATGTCCTAATGTGGTTTAACTATCACAAAGTATAGAAATTGAATTCACACTCTTAGAAGTCAATGAAATTTCTAATAGAAAGTCCCTCAACCATTTAGCCTCCTTTCCTGCATCTGCTAGAGCAACAAATTCTGATTTCATAGTTGAGTGAGTTATACACATTTGTTTCTTGCTCTTCCAAGAAATAGCGCCACCTCCTAAGGTGAACACCCAACCAGTAGTAGATTTGTTATCTCCAAAACTCGATATCCAACTTGCGTCAATATATCATTCTAAAATAACAGAAAATTTTGAGTATTGTATGCCATAATCTTTGGTTTGTTTAAGGTACCTAAGAATTCTTTCAATAGCCTTCCAATGCTCTACATTTGGATTGCTAGTAAATCTATTCAATTTACTAACTGCAAATGCTATATCAGGTCTTGTGCACTGCGTTGCATACATAAGACTTCTTATAACACTTGAATATTTTAATTGAGCTACTGTTCTTCCAACATTCTTGACTAATTTGATACTTGGGAAAAACGAGGTATTTACTTCTTTGATTTTTAAGTGACTGAATTTCTCTAGTACTTTCTCTACACAATGAGTTTGACTCAAAACATATCCCCCACTATTTCTTTTTACCTTGATACCTAGTATAGTATCAACTTGCCCAATACCTTTCATGTTAAATGTTGAAGATAGAAACCTCTTTGTTTCTACAATACTTTTCATGTCGTTGCTCACTATTAGCATATCATCAACATGAAGGCAAACTATCACCATATAGTCATCACAAGTTTTGAGATAAACACATTTATCTGTAATATTATAAACAAATCCATTAGAAAGAATTATTGTGTTAAATTTCTCATGCCACTGTTTTGGAGCCTGATTTAAACCATATAATGACTTAATAAGTTTACATACTTTATGTTCATTTCCTAGTAGAACAAAACCTTCGGGTTATTCCATATATACCTCCTCATCGATGTCTCTATTTAGAAATTCCATTTTGACATCCATTTGATGAACATAAAGATAAAAAAAATTGATGCTAAAACAAAATTAATTCTAATAGATGTGATCCTAGCCACAGGAGCATATGTGTCAAAATAATATATTCCTTCTTTTTGTCGAAATCCTTTAGCAACTAATCTTGCTTTAAATGTTTGGAGAGTACCATTTGTATGATACTTCCTACAAAATACCCATCTACAACTAATAGGTTTAGAGGCAAAAGATAAATCGATAAGTTTCCAAGTGTGGTTTGACATAATAAAATCCATCTCATCATTAATAGTATCTTTCCAAAAAGCAGCTTCACAAGATGCCATAGCTTCTTTAAATGTTTTAGGATCATCTTCCACTTGTAAAATAAGAGGAATTATTTTTAAGACTCTCTCATTAGTTCCTTCTATAAGGTAAAAAGAAATACTTTGAGAATCAATCTAATTCGATCTTAATGTTTTTGCTTTTCATACAAGTGCTTTTCCTTAATTCATGAGATTGCTCTCCAACCTCTTGTGAACTTGATTAATGTCCAATCAAAAGAATATTAGGTTGCTCACCAACCTTTTGAGATGTCTCCACTGGTGACTCTTCACTAGTTGGAGGATGAACATTATTACTTGAAGTCATTAAATGTTCAAAGAACTCTACATCTCGAGATTCTATTATGATATTATACTTCAAATTAAGAAGTCTATAAGCTTTGCTATTTGAAGCATAGCCTATAAATGTACATTTGATTCCTCTAGGTCCCAACTTTGTCCTTTGAGGATCATTATTCTTATAATATGCAAGACACCCCTATTGAATCTCATATTTTGATGATGAAACCACTTGATATGTGTTTATGAATTAATCTACGTTTTGAGTGACATAGGATGCTTTGATCAGGATGAGACAATTAAAGCAGGAAAATCATGTTGTGCCGGAGGAACATGTCAGAAAATTGGACGTCGGGCTGGTGGATCAGTCGACCTATTGATAGAAGACTTCGGGCCGTGGATTCGGGCATCGGGCCAAGAAGAGCAGGTAATGCACTAAGGATATCGGAGTTGCAGAGTCAATTGGCTGATTGGGCAATAGGCCACAAGAGAAGACGATGCGCCGAAGAGTCGGACGAAGCGTCGTAGGACCAATGACATGCCGGACAACTTGATTATTGCTTTGTATTAATTGTCTCAATCAAAGTTTTGTTTTAAGTATGCAGGATTAACTACGAAAGCTTGAAGACATAAAGCAAGTCTACCGAAGTCAAGTTCGATGGGTGTTTGAGAGTCCGTCTAGAGTTCGAAGAATCATCGGGAGTGCTGTTGGAACCAACCGAGAAGGAATCAGGGACTTGCCAAAGCTTTCGAAAGTCCACCGGAGAGATCGTCGGAGGTTCACGGAGATCACCGAGAAGGTTTGGTTACTTGCTAAAGACTCGCTGAACTCGCCACAAGATCGGGAGCCTACTGGGAGTCCGCCGGAAGAAATCCGAGGGTGTATCGGAAGTCCGCTAGAAGTTCGCCGAAAAGCTCGCCGGAAGGAAACTCGACGTTACCGATTAAAAACTTGCTTAGGACTATCTCTTAAGTTCATAGTTTGCATGTAATTAGGGTTAGGATTAAGGGTTAATCCTATAACCCGGTTAGGGGCCAATTAGGCCCGAGTTCGGACTGGTTTGGGCCAAGTTTGGAACCCAACCAGTGAGCAAAAATAGTGTAGGTGGTGGCACCACTAGACTAGGCGGTGGCACCGCCCAGAGCCAGAAGTATCAGGCGGTGGTACCGCCGGACTGGGCGGTGGCACCGCCCAGCACCCCAGAGTTCGGGCGGTGGCACCGCCCAGAACCCGAGAGTTCAGACGGTGGCACCGCCAGAACATTGTCAATGTGGAAATTGACAAGCGGTAGCACTACCACCGACAGGCAGTGGCACCGCTAGTAAAGGTCAATATGACATTGACAGGCGGTGGCACCGCCACCGATAGGCGATGGCACCGCCAATCTCGGAAATCCAAGAGAATTCAAAATTTGAAGCCCAAATTTGAATCCTCTTAGAGTCTATAAATACCCCTCAATTCTCAGCAGAGAACATAACCTTTTGATGAGTAAGAAATTGAGATAAAGCCTTAGCAAAGTCTTTAGCAAGTCTTATTTTCAATAGCTTGAGTGTTTACCTCCTTCTTTCTCTTTGAAAATTTGTAAGAGTGTGAACTACTTGTAAAAGGTTGTAAGAGAGGTATTTGTCCTTCCCCTTCAAAGTGATTTGCCAGTGGAAGTTG